GATGGGAGACAGGTTCGTGGAGGCGGGCTGTGGCTGCGGGAGAGGGCCAGGAAGGCCTGGGCTGACCCGGGAGGGCAGGATGAGACTGGGCGCGTGATGTGCTGATGGGAGAGACAGCGGTTGTTGTGCCATCTGGAGAGAAGGGCCTTGCCAGAAGAGTGTTTGGGACAAGAGGACGAGGACAAAAACAGGTTTGTGTTTCCTGCCTTCTGTGACATTTGAGGGTGGGGAAGCCCCAACTGGGACTTGATTTGTAGCAACCAAAAATGCCACCTCCTTTATCTCATGATTTTTTTCCCTTTAGTATACAAAATTGAAACTTTGGCTACTAGGTAAAGAGTGAAAGGAAGAACTCTAGGATAGTCTCTCCTATTGGTATGAAATCCTTTGAGTGTGATCACCTCATGGTTCTGTTCCCACTCCCCTCCCACCACCCTTCCTTCATTGATATTTGAATGTGTACTGTGTGCCAGACATTATGCTGGGCTGTGGGGTCTACAATAAACGGAGTGACTGAGTTCCGGTCTTTCGTGGTGGTTTCAGTCTTGGGTGTGTGCAGACATTAAGCAAATAATTGCACAGCTAATTATATAAATATAACCACATGAAGTGCAGTGAAGAAAAATAATACCATGAGAGTATCAAAAATTATGTATCTAATGTAGTAGGAGAGGTAAGAGAAGCTTCCTTGAGAGATCTGAAGAATGAGTAGGAGTTCCCACACCAAGGCAGGGGAGAGGAACAGGAAGGGTGGGGAAAGTGTTCGTGGAGAAAACCTTGTATGTGGAGGCTCCAGTGGGAAGAAGGTTGGCATTTTCGATGAAGTAAAATAAAGCCAGTATGTTAACTGAGGTAGGTTAAGCTGCAAGTGTCAGAAAACCAAAAATGATATAGTCTTGAATTAGAGAAAAGTATACATGTGTTTCATATAAAATAAGCAGCCCAGAGCTGATCCAACAGGTCCAGGTTCATCAAGGACCAAGGCAACTCTGTCTTATTGCTTTGCTCCACTCAGCATGTTGCTTCCATCTTATGGCCCAAGATGGCTGCTCTGGTTCTACCCATCACATGTATATTCCAGCCAACAGAAAGGAGGAAAGGGCAGAAGAACACATCTCCTTCCCTTCATAAGAAACTTCCTGGAAATTGCATAGATATCACTTCTAGTTGTATCTTATTAGCCAAAATGTGGTCACATGGCTATCCCTATCTGTAAGCATTAGCTGGGACTTCCAGTATAATGTTGAAAAGGAGTGGTGAGAGGGGATATCCTTGCTTTGGAACTGATCTTAGTGAGAATATTTCTAGTTTCTCATCAATAAGTATGATGTTAGCTGTAGGGTTTTTGTACATGTTCTTTATCTGATTGAGGAAGTTCTCATCTATTCCTAGTTTGCTGAGAGGTTTTTTTTAATCATGATTGACTGTTAGATTTTGTCAAATGCTTTTTTCTGCATCTACTGATATGATCATGTGGTTTTTCTTCTTTAGCCTGTTGATGTGATGGATTGCATTAATTGATTTTTGAATATCGAATGCATCTTGCATACCTGGGATAATCCCACTTGGTCGTGGGTGTAACTCTTTTTATACATTATTGGATTTGATTTTCTAATATTTTGTTGAGGATTTTTGCATTTATGTTCATGAGAGATATTGGTGTGTAGTTTTCTTTTCTTGTATTTTCTTTGTCCGATTTTGGTAGTAGGGTCATGCTGGCCTCATAGAATGGGTTAGGAAGTATTCCCTCTGCGTCTGTCTTCTGAAAGCGATTGTAGAGAAGTGGTATAATTTATTCCTTAAATGTTTGTAGACTTCACCAGTGAACCCATCTGGGCCCAACATTTTTTAGTGAAAAATTTTACCATACAGAGATGTTGGCCCTGGAGGCAAGTTCAAGTCCAGGGTTTTGGGTGATTGGAGCAATCTTGGAACAGTTTCTTAAGTTCATTGAGCTTATTTTCCTTTTCTTTAAAATGAGGACAATACCACCTCCTTATAGTGGTGTTGGAAGGATACACGGCACCCAGCACTGCCCGGCCCACAGTGAGCACTTAATAAATGACAGCAACTTATTTTATTATTTTTTCCTGCAGCAGACTGACATTGTGTGTTGAACTGTTGAACTCACCATTTCTTATATACCCTTGGGGATGGGAGTAGATAATTCCTGATTTCTTTTTTGGACTAAAGGCATAAGGATAAGCTTAATCATATGTTGTAACTTTTTTCTTTTTTAAACTTGGAGGAAAAAAAATTCAACAAGGAACCTCCAAATCCAAATACTACTCAGTGTGTCCGATGGTCAGGGATCCCCTATACTGAGTGTGTTTAAAAATGGAGCGCCGTGGGTGTCTGTAGAGAGCAGCTATCCTGTCACTTGATCAGAGAGCGCCCTGTGCATTGCTTTCTCTTTCCTTTGACCTTGGAATGACTTGTATAACTCATGGCTGGAGCTGCAGCCCATAAAGTGGGGGTCTGCCCTGTCCTGGGCTGTGGCAGGGCAGAGAACGTAGACTCGAAGGTGAGGAGGGCTCATCCTCAGCACTGGGGGCGTCCCCTCTGGTGCCCCCTCTTTGGGTAACGCTTTATCCTCTGATTTGTTTCCAGGGAATTTTTGCTCCCACCCTAGTGTGGAGATGGGCAGTGTGGTGATTTAAGGAAAACCCTGGTGGGGGATGGTGGCATTGGAAGGAGGAGGGCAAGTCAGGCAGATGGCAAGCCTTTTTGCAAATGTGTTTTGGGTTGGAACTTGGCACATACATACAAAAACGCAACTGAAAAGTATTTTCATTTTGTGCTTAATTTGTGATAATGGCAAATTCGTGACAGGAGGCACTGAAACCAGTTCAGAAGGGTTTGCGGTGTGGATAGTGACCCCAGAACTGTGCTGGAGTAGGAATCTTTATATGGAGCTCTGGAACATAAAGTACACCAAAGGCCCTACTACGGCTGGTGAGGGCGGGAGGGGAGTATCTGCTTATACTGTTTGCTGGATGCCGGGGACGTCAGGGACGCGGGCGTTCAGTACCGCCTGCCTTTGCTGCCATGACGTCTCCCTTTACTACTTCTTCCTCAGAAGTCAGCTGGCCACAGTACAGCAGCACAGAGGGCGGCAGTGATTATTTGAGAAGGGACATACTTCGTTTCAGACCAGATAGCTCTTATCAGCCTAGATAATTTCCGTGAGTTCTGAAATAGACTTGGCACACCAGGCAGGGTGTCTGCTTATGGTATAGCAGTGGGGGTGCAGGACTGCCTGTTGTGAACTGTGTTTGCGTTTCAGACCAGAACTGGAATCCCGGAGAGTATCTGTATTATGTAGAAGTCAGGAAGAACTAACTTGAGTGCGTCCAGGCTTTTTAGTGGGTTCCATTTGGAAGGTTGTGGTGTAGTGGGTGCTATATGTTCAAGCCCCTGTCTCCCCAGCTATCGAGTGGGGACAACACCAAGCTCACAGAGGTGTGGGAGGTTTAAGTATTAGAGGTTCCTCCTTCTGGATGTCCCTCTGTCAATCCAGCCATGTGAAATGAGGCTGAAATGTAGTGGGGTTGCACCTCACATCACCATAGCAAGCTGTTTCCCATATTAGTTCCTTAGAGCCAAATCTAAGTCACCAGAATGGTACCCTAATCACTGGTCAGAGACTGGGCAGTTTTTTTTTTTTTTTTAAGCTCAGTGATTCATTTAACAAATACTTTTTGAGCTAGGCACAGTGATGGGTGCTGAGGCTGCAAAGATGCGTAACCCACAGTCATCGAGAGGTCATACTGGACGGGTGAAGACAGATGTATACACTGGTGGTTCCCGTATGGGAAATGAAACAGCAGAGACAGGCAGAGAAATTGTGCGAGGACGGAGGAAGAGTACTTCCCTCAGTTTGTGATGTTTGCTGTGGAGGTGGAGTTGGAGCACAAGAGGGTAAAAGGAACAAGTGTGAATAAAGACCTGCAGTTGAGAAACATCATGATCTGTGTGGAGACCTTTAAGCCAATTGGTGTTGCTGGAGTGGGGCGGGGTGAGGCTGGAGAGACGGGAAGGGGCTAGATCAAGAAAGGCCTTGTGTGCCAGATTAAGGTGCTCAGGCTTTATTCACAAGGCCAGCAGTTCTCGAGGGACAGGACATGCTTGCATAGATGGGAAGGGCAGGTCTGGCATTTGGATTAACCGTTCAGTTGTGCACCCCTGGCTTAGAAGGACAATGCTTGTATGGAAGGTGGCTGGGAGAGCTTGAGACCTGAAGTTTCTTTTAGGAAGAAGTGTCTAGGGACAGAGACACTGAGCTACAGCAAGTAAAGATGGGCAGGAATGGACGGATTTAGGATTTAAGGTCTGATTGATCAGAGGAAAGAGGAAGAGGAAGCAGGAGTCAAGTATGACCAGGGTTATACTTTTTCTCTTTAGGTTTTCTGTTTAGGTTCTGCTCATATCCTACCTACCTCTCTTGGGAGGATTTTTTGACCTCTGGCTCAAACTTTGCTGTACAACTCTGGCTCCAGTTGCCTCCACGCATTCTATCTTGCTCTGTATTGTTTTAAATTTTGGTTTGCTTTCCCTAAGAAGGGGAAGTGCTTGAAAGGTAGGGACTACATCTTATACTTCTTTGGGTGCAATTTTAGATGTTTAATATTATTTATGCATAATATTATTGGGTCTTTAGGCAATTTGTTCCATTTATCTCTGGTTTTCTTCTAAAAAGAGGAAGAAAGAATTGAACACAAATGTCAAATGGGAGATTTCCTCCATCCAGAGGAATACATTCATGACTTGTATGTCTAAAAGGGAATTTAAATAATCAAATACACATCAAAATCATCCAAAAGGAATTTAAGAGATTGGGATTTTAGAAGAAGAGGCTAGCTTTTTTTTGCCATTTAGTTCTGGAAACAACTTACCTTGAAAGATTATTCTAGTGGGTTGATCATCCAGAACAATTAATTTAATTGTGGCACAATTAATTGCCGTTTCTGAGGGGTTCATGTTTGTGATTGCCTCTGCAGGTCCAGAGCCCAGCACCCAGTGTGAGCTGTCGCCCGTCAACGCCTCCCATCCGGTCCAGGCCCTGATGGAGAGCTTCACCGTCTTGTCGGGCTGCGCCAGCAGAGGCACGACAGGGCTGCCGCAGGAGGTGCATGTCCTGAACCTCCGTGCCGCCGACCCGGGGCCCGGCCAGCCACAGAGAGAGGTAGGCACAGGTGCTAGCTGTCTACCCATTGCCCCACTTAGTTTGTAAAGGCACTTTTCTGCAGGGAGAGTCCTTTTCTTCTATTCTGGGTTTAACAAGGATGCTCACGTATGAACATAAGAGGGGAGGAGGACATGAAGAAGAGAGAAGGATTTCAAATTATGCATTACTCTCTGGACTGGCCAACTCTAGAACTTCTCTCTCTAGAGATTTCTCAGCTTTTCAACTTTCCTAGCCCCCCATAGTGGAAGGAATGTTCTTAAGAATTTCATCTTTCAAACATGGCTGTGAAAAACAAAATAAGGTGCCCTTTCTCTGTAACTATAAAATGTCTTTCTCATCTCTTCCTCTGCCCTGTCTGTCTTCTTTCTTTGCTTTGTCTTATGAACCCATTGCTCCTGCAGGATGAGTCAGGGGAAATGGGAACACTGGAATAAAGATGGCAGTACTTTGTACTTACATGAAAAGTCCTGGAGGGAGCTCCTTATGCTATCCAGGCAGCTTCTCGAAGATGGTGGTGATCTTAGTGGTGATGACAGTGAGCCAGGCTCATAGTGACTCAGTGTTTACTCTGTCCTCAGCACTGTTTGAAGCACTCATGCGTTTCCCCTATGAAGGCCTCTCATATCCTCATCTTACAGGTAATGGACAGGTGTAGAGACAACTCACTTGCCCAGAGTCATCACCTTAAGAGAGAAATGGCCTCCGCTTTCCTGTGGCTCAGAAATGACCTAGATTGTGGGCAGATTGTCATCATACTTCATTTACGATAACACACAGTTATCATTCGTTCTGTTTTTAAGCTTCTGTGTGTCAGAAATGTTATCACTCAGGTATTATCTCTCCAGGGAAAGAGAAACCACAATAAATTCTGGTCACAGTGAAGTGTGGGAAAATGAATGCAGAGTAGAATTTATCTTTGAGCTTTCTTCTGGTCAAGAAAATTAATTTCCAGAACCGTTTGTTTATGTGCCTCAACCACGCTGCCTTTTTGTGGGAGTAGGAATCGGAGAGGCGAGGTGTCCAGAAGGAAAAGCAAACTGATTTTAATCTCATGAAAGTGTGCAGAGTTGGCTCATTTCAAAAACAAATCATCTAACTTTTCCAGCTATATTGGAAATTATTGTTAGTACCCTTGGTTGCTTGCCATTGGAGCCGCACCACATATTTCAGGTCCGATTTCTTTATCCCAGTAATACATCTTTAATTCTTGACTTATGGGGGAGACTTTGTGGTGGGAGGGAAGGGCGGGGAGGAGGAAATGCAGTTCCTATGAAGCATTGCTGACTCCAGCAATTCTTTAGCAGCAATAATTACTCATTTTATATATGCTTCTCTCAGAGGAACCGAGAAAGAAAAGAAAGTCTGAGCTATTGCAGAAGCAGCAACAGCAGAAAATTCTGGATGTTAAATTGTGCAGTACTGTTTTTGACTCTGACAATAGGTTCAAATAAGACTATTGAAGCAAAAGAAAAATGCCTCAAGGAATGGCAGCAGAGCTGTCTCCCACACTTGTCTTTACTATGTTAGTTCAAAATGGAATTCGTTTTAGGACACGGCAGTGCTGAAGATACATCAGATTGGCTGGCATCAAGGGACATAGTGTGTTCAGTGAGGAAATAAAGAAAGGAGGCCTGTAGGGGATCGTCTCTAAAACTTGTTTAAAAACCTGAACGTTATTCTTCTCCCTTCGGTATTTGTATAGTATATGTATGATTTTGGGTTAGTGATTTGAAGATATTTCTGAGACTAGGCGACTGAGGGAAATTGCCTTCTTGCCTTCTTTGGGAACTTTTAAGAATAGATGGTTGTAGTGCTATCCTGTTTGAAAAGAAGATGTTGGGATAAGTGATCTTTGAGAATTCTGTCCGGCTCTGAACGCTCTCGCGGAATAGACCTCGGGCTGCTTTATGTATTCAGAGTGAGTGTAGAGGGTGACGACCGAGCAGCAGGGCCATGACAGAGAGAATGAGAGAGAGTTCGTTGAAGGGTGGTCAGATGGGGGTGGAGAAATACGATCTCTCACGTTCTGCAGAGATGACTGTGGCGATGCATTACTGCAGTTGTGCAAACAGTTTTTAAAAAATCATTTGAACTGTGTGACCCAGCAATTCTACTCCCAAGTATATACCCAAGAGAAATGAAAACATGCGTCCGCACAAAAACTTGTCCATGAATGCTCATGACAGCATTATTCATAATAGTTGAAAAGTGGAAACAAGCTGAACGTCCATCATCTGATGAATGGATAAATAAAATGTGGTATATCCACACAATGGAGTGTTATTCAGCAATAAAAAGGATGGAAGTACTGATATTTGCAGTAACACAGATGAACCTTGAAAACATTATGCTAAGTGAGAGAAGATAGACACAAAAGACTACATCTTGTATGAGTCCATTTCTATGAAATGTCCAGAATAGATAAATGTATAGAGACAAACTAAATTTATGGTTGCTTAGGGCTGAAGGACAAAGAGAGAAATGGGAGTGGATTGCTAATATATACAGGGTTTCTTTTGGGGGAACAGAAGAGTTCTAAAATTGTGATGGTTCCGTAATTGAATATGAATATACTAAACATCGTTAATAAATATCAATAAATGTGAATACACTAACAACCATCGAATTGTACTTTAAGTGTGTGAATTTTATGGTATATGAATTTTATTTTGGCAAAGCTGTTTAAAAAACCATAAATCGACCTGCCAATGTTCTAATTAGCCCATAAAGTTTATCTTAACTGTATTCACTTTTTTTACCAAGATCACTTCCTCCTCCAACCTAAACTCACCCAACTCTTTGTTATTCTCGATGGATAACTGGCTTTTTATAGATATGCTATTATATGGTCTCTGCTAAAAATCACAGCTGATGTATTTTTAGGGTAGTAGTGGGAGGACCAGAGGCAGCCTTTGTGCGTGTCTTTACTGAGTATTAAAGGCAAATATTTTTCAAGATGAAATGATAAATGATGTTGCTTATAAATTAGCAAAAAGAATGCCATACTGGCTCCAAGCCATAATTGACTTTAACTCTGATCACTGAGGTGGTTGTTTTTCATGATGTCCTCCTTAAATGTGACGGAATTACTAAATCAACCCTATTTCCCCTTGGCGTGTCATTGGTGCAGGGTCAGCATTAACATCTATTATAAATCATCCCTTCTCAACATTTTGCTAAATTCCTACCTCCGGGGTGCCTTAGGGTTCTTCAGTGGAGGAGAGGCTGCTGTTTTTCCTGTGTGGAGGAGGTGACAGAGCCTACACCTGGAAGTAATAACCGCAGCAGTTTGACAAGATTTGGGGAAACAGTTACACTTAAGTTAGATAAACAATTTTATAGGCTAGCAGAGAATTTGTATCAGAAACACACTTGTTACAATAATGTGTACAAAGCCCTCTGTAGGAAAGCACTGTTTTGCCATTGGCCTCCCTGCTGGGTTCTCATCAGGACAGCACAGACCTATAGTTATATTTTTCATCTGAGACCACACCTCTCATTTGTAATCATTGGTTTTAGAAACAACAGCCCTGGAAGCGAACAGGAAACTGGAAAAAGACACACTGGCGACAGAGGAGGGCAGAAGAGGGTAAACAGCCCTGAGAGCTCAGCTTTGTCTTTTAGAATAAGCAGGGACTAGTGTCATCGTTTGCATCCTATGAAAACCAGCTCCTTGTGCCCTTTGACCTCAAAGTACAATGTCGTCCCACCCCCACCCCCACCGCCCTCCTCCCCCGTTTGAGTTTGGTCCCATCAGGGTGTTTCCTGATTCCTGAGAAGGGTTAGAAGGGTTATAGTGCCACGAGAGGCTTGTTTACAGTAACAGACTTTCATTAGTTGCTGGAATGGCAACAATGTTGTTTCCTGTCATCTAATTTTTATTGTGACCTGCTTTTATGTGGCAGTGTGTCTTTTCTATTTCCAACCTGTCTGATTCCTTGCTTATTATGACAAGTTGCTGAGGGTAGGCCCCTTGTTAGCATTACATATGTGTATAAAAGATATGGTCGTTTAAATTTGTGTGTTTGTTTTGACGTTAAAGGAGCAAATGTTAATGCATGTGCCAGCCCCTGGCTCTAGGGGTGGAGTGGGGATCTGGGAGGCTCCATTGTCATGGGAAAGGGGCCAGGTTTCGTAGCTTCACCAGTCAGAAAGCTCAGAACCTTCCATACTTTTATGTATTTGCTTATTCTCTGCCTCATTACAAAAAAGGATTTGGGGTGGGCTTACAACAATAGACACACCAACCTTGTAAGCAGAAATGCAAAATGAAGACAAGAGAAAAAGGAAAAGGGTAGTCACTTGGTTGTATGGGTTAATGTGGTTGGTATCTCTGAGTGTGAAATTTGGCTTCGAGTTTCTTGGCAGGCAGGGCCAAATGGGATGTGTGATTAATCACACATGTGACTCCAAGTCACTTTTATTTTTTACCTTCTCTGAGGACTATGGCATAAAGTTGGACCTTTCCTGATTTTTTTTTTTGTGAGGAAGATGTTGCTGAGTTACCATCTGTTGCCAAGCTTCCTCTTTTTGCTTGAAGAAGATTGTCACTGAGCTAACATCTGTGCCAGTCTTCCTCCATTTTATGAAGGATGCTGCCACAGCATGGCTTGATGAGCGGTGCTAGATCTTCAGATCAGGGATCCGAACCTGTGAACCTGGGACTGCCGAAGCAGAGTGCGTGAACTTAACCACTACACCACCAGGCCGGCCCCTCCTGGGTTTTTTTGAAAGCAAGAAAGACTGCAGTTGGGAGGAAAGGAAAGAAGTGAACACATCTAAAATGCTCACTGTTCTGCTTGCCTCTTAACAGCTCCCTTATCCCCCAAATAACAGTAAGAGTAATAATAGTGGCCAGCCCACCTGTGTTATCTCTGCCTGTCGTCACTGTCAGCCAGAAAGGGACGGGGCTAGGGAGGTTCTACAACAGATCCTGGGTTGTGGAGCTCGATGCTGAGCAGGGTTAGTTAGACTCTACTGTCCACTTCCACTCCATT